ACACACACACACACATATATATATACATGTATACACACACACACACATATATATATACATATATACACACACACACGGCATTTTAAACATTTCTCTCACTCTTGCAATATTCTAATTGATGTTTCCAAACTCTAAACGCTCTAAAAGAACTCATAATGTCATGAACTCCTCTCTCTGCCACTGCTGCGCTCTGTGCTCTCGGCCACGCCCACTTCTCCGCAGCAGAACGGAGGTCACAGAAGAGAGAGGAGGAGCTGCAGGAGGACGTTTCTCCTGCTGTGTGGGTTGTACCCAAGTGCAGCACATGCTAAGTAATCTAAAATAATTAATTTTTAATAAAAATCCCATGCGGATCGTGTGGCTCATCCATCAGGTCAGCTAATTGTGTGTCATGTCCAATCTTATTCTGAAAAACCGTGATATTGCGAGACCGCGATAAACGAACGGCGAAGTAGCGAGGGACTACTGTAATGCAAACTGATGTTTCAAAGCATTTTCAGAATGTGTACAAACAGAATCACAATAATGTTTGCTTTGTGTTTTTAGCTTCCATCATATTTATCATCTGGACCACCAAAGTCTTCAGGCTGGTTGACTGTCAGAGGGTCTGTTTTTCTGTAGACAGAGTTATTGCCAAATTGTCTTTGTTTATTTCCTCTGAACGTTCAGGTTACTGCGTTCAGAAGAGATAACTTGCCTCCTGTTTATGCTGTATCCAGAGTTGGCGGGACTTGTGGGTGGACGATGCTTTCTGGCGTCTCCTGTTTTCTACTATTCTGCTGGTCATCATGGTGCTGCTGCGGCCCTCTGCTAACAGCCAGAGGTCAGAGTCATGTGAAGCTGGTTATTCATGTTCAAAATGTCCATACACATATTATTCCTATTCGATTTAATTATGTTCTTATTCTTCCTAGGTTCTCTCACTCTCCTCTTATTGATGAAGATGATGAAGAAGATGAAGCTAAAGAACCCATGATGAATGAAGCTTTTGGTAAGACGTGCCAGGGTTGTTTTTCATTTCAAAACAGACAAGTATTAACCTTGATAAGTGATGCTTCATAGCAACATATTGATGCTTCAGAAATGGATGACATGATGAACTGAGAGGCAGTTCTCTTGAATACATTTTATTTATCAAAACACAAATGCATGCTTAAAACTACTTAAACAATCAAATGTTTCTAAGTAAATGGATGGGAGCAGTTGATAAACTCACTGTTGGCCTTATTAAAAGTTTCTAGTTGCTGTAAAAAGTTGATAACTTTTCCTAAATCTGCTGCTTGACCTCCTTTTTTCAATGATTCGTCTAATGTACTTACCTGCTTTGTTGTATTGTGTGTTGTATCTGATCAGCCAATTGTTGTAGATGTCTGTGATTGGCTCATGTTTTTAGATTTGTACTTTAATTAGGCAGCTTTTATTTGTTTATTTAATACACAACAACAAACCCAAATGATTTGCTTAAAGCTTATCTTGGAATCACAACCTTGTTGTTTGTGGTGGTTTATTATGTAAATCATTGCCACAGACTGCATGATCTCAGTGTTCTCACACATTCAATAATTATCCATCAAAAATGGCTTTCCTGGAGGTATCATATAAGATAAGTAACAATTGTAACCCACTATGTGGGTTCCTTAAAGTATGGTACTCCTTCTATTAGTTAGCTGATATGGCAAAAATAAATTACTAAAACCACTATTCCCAATACTAAACACCTAGGAGGAAATGTTGGGCCTGATTAGAGGACTCTGGGTTCTTGGGAGCTTAGATGTGAATAACAAAAGAAATTGCACACAGTTTATAGAAAAGGAATACAATTTACTGAAGAGAATAAAGTATTAAGTTTGCATATATGACAGTAATAAACAAAATTGCGTGCTTGTTGGGGAAAAAAATACAAATTAGAATAAAGAATTTACAAAATAAAAACATAATACAGAATAGAATGAAAAATACAAAGTAATGAAAATAACCCGATCTATGTAGTAAAGTCTGACTCCAAACAGCAAAAACAGGAGTGTTAATTCAACTCTCAGTGTTAAATTTGACACTTTTTCTGAGTTTATATAATTCTCACAAAATTCTGAGTTACAAGTACACTTTGAAAAGTGATAATATTTTAACTCTTTAATAGTGTTAAATATTTGACACCCTTGGTGGTGTTTTATGACGCCACTTAAAGTGCACTTTTAACTCAAAATAGTGTTATTCCCTTTCACTAAGTGTTAATTATTTAATATGCATTATTTTATGATGCAATTAAGTGCTTTTAAAACTAAAATAAAAAAGAAATAAAACAATTTTACTTTTTCAATCCCCAATTGGGAAATTAATTCTCTGTATTTTTCCCATTGCGTGTGTGGGCACTCAGGTGTGGGGTGGGGGGCTGCCGTCTGGGGTGCCCTGGGGTTGGTGGGGGCCTTGCGCATGGGCTCGGGGGGGGGGGGGGGGGGTTGCATCTTTTCACCCACATTTTGATGTGTTCAGTCTGGGAGTTGAACCTGGGTTGGCTGGAGACTCTCTGGTCACAGGCTCACCCTCTCGAGCCTCTGCGCCACCACTCCCCCTTTTGTATGTGTTTATTTTTTAACATGCATCGTGTTATTTTATGAAACATTGGTTACGTGCTGTAACCCCAGATTCTATGAGTATAGGCGTAGCCCTTTAAGAGCCGTCGCTGGTGGGTTATCCCGTCATGCAAAGCATCGCACTGAAAAATTTAATCCACGCCCACCTGTTGTGTGGGCCCCACCCAGTCCGTATAAATTACGTTGAGCGGGTAATCGGCTCCCAAATAACTTTTTCTTCAGCCATTTAGGAGCCAATGAGGCCCAACGCTTAAAGGACTACGCCTATACTCATAGAATCTGGCGTTACAGTACGTAACCAACGTTCTATTTTGTATAGGCTTCGCCCTTTAAGAGCTGTTGCTGGTGGGTTAAAGGTGAAGCAAGATGTGATCTCCGCCTCACTGGGTCCATTCGAACACCATATGAAGCTCCTGCTTGCCCAAAAAAACATCTTGTCACTCAGCTCTCCATGTGCGTAAATACGCGTTGCGTAATTACACGCACCATGCACAGACGCGCGCTGCATAGTTTACGTGTTCTGAATGCATGAACGCCCCGGAAAAGTTTTCAACGGGAAAGAGGAGAGGCTGAAAAGGCCGTGAACAGAGCGGATCCATGGCTCTTCAACATGAACAGATTAATAATAAATGAAGTGATTATTAATCAAATGAACTGATTGATGACAGTAGTCATGAACTGATTAATAACCATAGAACAAGAACAGTCATAATCTGTGACTGATAACAACATCTCACACTGTAAATGCATGCAGTCAGATGTGAGTTTAAACGAAACTCCATGAAACAACAATATTCATTCTGTTAAGGCACTAAGTACAGAATGTGTCATGGAACGAGCCGTCACATCACGTAGATGGAAGCGAATAAATGAGCAGGGTGTTGACCATGCGGCCGCAGTGCAAATATCCTGCATTGACATACCATTATGCAAAGCAGTCGAAGATGCGATACCTCTGGTCGAGTGCGCTCTGAGGTTGTCAGGAGGCTCTAAATCTGATGCTCTGTAGGCTTCAGAAATGGCCTCACACAGCCAGTGTGACAGGCGCTGGGTGGATAACGGGCGACCTGCAGATGCGTCTCTATAGTGCACAAACAAATGTTGAGTCTGCTGCCGTGCCGCCGTGCGTGCTACGTAACACGTCAACGCACGCACAAAGCAGAGAAGATGAAAATATGCTTCTTCTTCTGATTTGTGGGGAGGAAGGAAAAAAACCCTCCAACAATATCGCTCTTGATTTAAATGAGCTTGTGATGTTTTAGGCATAAACGCTGGGATAGGCCTCAGATCAGCTGAGCTGCCATCAGCCTGAATTCTGAGACATGACGGAGCAACAGAAAGGGCAGATAAATCACTCACCCTCTTTGCGGATGTTAAAGCCAACAGCAGGGCTGTTTTAAGAGACAAGAATTTAAGTGGAACCTCATCTAGTGGCTCGAATGGAGCTTTGATCAGGGCTCGCAGAACCAGCTTTAAATCCCACTGTGAAGAAAGTGGGCGTGATACAGGCTTGCATCTCTGTACACCTTTTAAAAAACGCTTCATCAGCGGATGATTAAAAGCTGTTCTGTCCCCGAAACCTTCGTGACAAGAAGAGATGGCTGCAGCATATGTTTTAATTGTGCTGAACGCTAGATTTCTGTCCATCAGCTGCTGCAGAAAGGACAGCACGCCACCTAGTGGACATGAGGTGGCCTCTACACCTTTCTCCGAACACCAGCGCTGAAAAGCTGTCCACTTTGATGTGTACAGCGCTGTGGTGGAGGCAGCGCGTGAAACCTGGAACGTGCGCATTACCTCTTGAGAGAGACCCATCTTCTCTAAACGGATCCGCTCAGCAGCCAGACCCAAAGGTGCTGGCCTGTTTCTGGGTAACTCCTGATCCCTCCTCCCGCCTGGAGGAGAGCATCCTCCCTCCGTGGCAGTTTCCACGGGTGACCCAATAACAGGTGTCATAGAATTGGGAGCCACGGGGCGTTCACGCGCTCGGGAGCCACCAGGAGGGCTGTCAGTCCCTCCTTCCGAACTCTGTTCAGAAACCGTGATATAGTGAGTGGGGAAATGCGTAAAGAAGCATTTTGGGCCATGGGCTGTGAGCAAACACGTACACCCCTAGTGGTAGTTCGTCCCGCGGGCTCAGTGAGAACCATAGTTGACACTGAGCATTATCTCATGTGGTAAACAGGTCCACGGCCGCTCTGCCAAATTTCTGCCACGTCTGAGCAATCAACTCGGGATGGAGGCTCCAGTCCCCGTGGTGCGGACCGCCCCTGGACATCACATCCGCTCCTCTCTTCAGAACACCGGGGATGTACACTGATCTGATGTAGAGCAGATTTTGGTGTGCCCAACACAGCAGCCGTCTCGCAATGTGTAACATTTGGGCTGAGCGCACACCCCCCCTGCCGGTTTATGCATGCTGCAGTCACTTGTTGTCTGTGTGAATCAGAACATGTTGATTCCACAGCACAGGAGCAAAATGTTGAATCACATTCAAAACCGTGCGACATTCCAAAACATTTATATGAGCTGCTGTGTGTGGTGGCCACAGCGCCCCCACAGCTCGAGACATGCATGTGCCTCCCCAGCCTGACAGGGACACGTCTGTGACAACTGAGACGTGTGACGTAGGTCTGCTGACAGGGACTCCCTCCGACAGAACAAGAGGGTTTCCCCAGTGTCTCGGGTCGATTCTCACGGAGGGGGGCACAGCGATCAACCATCTCTTTTGCCTCACCGGATCCACACGCAAACGAGCGAACCACCTCTGGAGGCGTCTCACCATGTTAGCAAACGACATCGTCCCTAGTAACTTCATGACGGACACAGCTGTTATCACTCTGCCGGCTTCACGTGGCGGAGCTGGTCCTTTAGAGCTTCGGTTCTCGTCTAAGATAAACGAGCCCTCATAGTGACCGCGTTTTGCTCCACTCCCAGATAAACGATCGTCTGGGCCGGGTGAACTGAGCTCTTCTCCCAGTTTATGGTGAAGCCCAGATTTTGCAGGTGTGACGTCATCGTCTGAGTTTGCACTGCTGCCTCCTGTCTGGAACGGGTCAGAATTCTCATCCCTGCTCTGTGTAGCGGCTGCAGAGCCGACTCTCCGCATTTTGAAAACGTGCGTGGCGCGAGGGAATACCCGAAAGGAAGTCTGTTGTATTGATACTGGGTCCCTTGAAAGGAGAAGCGCAGGAACTTTCTGTGCTTTGGAATGATCGGAATGTTGTCTAGCAGTTGTCTGGTTGTCAACATGTGAAAATGTCTCTCCATGATCGACTTGTTGAAAATTGACAAATCCAAGATCGGTCTCATCCCTCCGGTCCGTTTTGGGACCAGGAAGTAACGAGAGTAAAACCCTGTGTTTTCCTCTCCATCTGGAACCCTGAAAATTACATTTAATTTTACAATTAAATTATTTTTTATCAGAATTTCCTGAACTTATGCGTGAAGGAACGAGATCTGTTCTGGAGATGACAGAACCATCTCTAAAATTCTTTCGAATGGGGGGGGGGGGGGGGGTGTTGAGCTGCAAACTGCAGCGTGTATCCCCTGCTGATAAGACAGTTCATCCTTCTGTCTAGAGCGCACGCTCGTTGCCACTCCGCGTAACGTTCGGGAAGCGGGCACGCGTTTTTCTGCTGTCATGTTTTTTATGGACACCAACTAAGTTACAGCCTCCACCGCCGTCATGTGCTGCGGAGGCGTACTCCAAGCGACCCAAGGAGAGGCTTCCTCGAAGGGGCCCTGAAGGTGCCTCTGTGCTGCTCTCAGGCTGTGGGCTCACATCCGTGCTGATGTGAGCTGGCATGCGCTGAGGGGAGGCATGCGCGCCCTTGGCCATGCGGTGCCGTTTATTCGGGGGCACGCATTTGTCACCGCTGCGGTCAGAGGAGGCAGCGCACAGCCTGGGCTGAGAGCGAGGTTTCCCACTGGACTCGGTCTGCTGAAAATATTCACTTTTGGCTGCTATGTCACTCATGCGCACATTTTGTGTGTTTTCTCGAGCTGCGGTGATTTTAAAAACCTGTTTTGAGGACACCGGCTCACTTTGTGTGGAGGATGTGTGAGGAGAAGAGATCATGAGATCATGAGTGAGATCATGAGTGAGATCATTCGAACTGACAGTCAGGCTGAAATCGGACACTTTAATTTCTAAATGATATTTATGTTTTGTTTCAAAACTCAAGCCATCATTGTGCACACACACATCCTCCGCAAGGAGTCATTTTTTTAATCTTCTCCCCCGCGAGCCCTGCGGCTGGTTGTTCCAGGACAGCGCCTGTTGGCGGTCTCTGGGGAAACGCTGCACCGCTGGTTGCCGGGATGAGGAGGGCTGTTCTCTGACGGGAGGGGCTGGCGGCGGAGCGAGAAGACCGCTGCTGCAGCTGTGGAGCGTCTCTGCTGCTGCCTCTGGCCACTGCACGCTCTCCAGCGGGTGGGGGGGCGAGAGGAGGAGTGCGGCTTGATCAGATGGCGCACAGTCTCTGACACCTCCTCCGACTTCAATTTCTTGAGCATGGCCTTGAAATTGGCTCCGAACAGCGCATCCGTCGTGATGGGACCCTCCAGCAAGTCCTTCTGCAGCTTCTCCGGCAGGGAGGGGGAGTGACAGAGCCAGGTGGACCTCTGGATCATCGTCATCCAGGCTGCGATGCGAGACAGGCAGACAGCAGAGGATACACACAGGTTGAGGATGACGTCAGATGCCTTGCAGAGGGAGCTCTTCGTCTCCTCGGGCAGGTCTGTTTCCTCCAGCCTCTTGAGATGCTGTACACCAGTAGCGCAATGTTGTTGTTCGCTGCGACCGCCTGGAACGCACACTGGTGAGCTCGGTTGGAGAGCGACGTCACCGTCTGGTCGTGTTTCCCCGGAGGCACAGGACGCTGGTCCAACCTGGACATCTTCGCTCTGAGAGCCTCCACCAGGCTTTGCTCCAGGAGGGGCACCGAGGGAAAATTCCGCTCTGTAAACCCCTCCACTCTGGTGATGGGTGCGAATGTGGAAACCGGCGCTCTGTCTACCAGGTCCAGCTGCAGCCTCATTCCAGTAGGACTTCACTGCTGGGAAACAAGGCCGGGTGGAGCCAAACCTTCCCGCTAGATCATCCGATCTGGGCGGGGGGAGGAGAGGGACGGAAAGTCCCTTCGTGTCAGCCGCCTCCTGGATTATGCCAGGCAGCTCCGAGAGGAAGGCACCAACGGCTGGGAGCGGTGTGGTTGCTGATGCTGAAAGGCCCGGGGGTGAGCATCCGCTCGGCCCCCCTCGTTCCGACACTACGCTCTCCAGGAGGGAGTAAGCAGCGGGGCTGCTACTGACATCGCCTGTCCCGGTGGAACCATTCGATTCGCTCCGAGAGTCGGCGTTAAAAAAGGTAGATGGCGTCGTCCAGCGGGTAGCGGCCCGCCACGGAAAAGTACTCCTCGGCGCTTACCTTGAAACAAGGCTGCTCGTCTGCTTCTCCTCGGGGAAGAAGAACTCACCAGGACGGCCGGAGGTTGGCGTGGCGGAGACCCAGGCAGCTTTAGCAAAGGTTGTGCCAGTCAAAGCTGGACAACTTTCCTTCTTCATTCTTCTGACAGTGCTATTAGCTTGCTGAAGAAAAATCGGAGCCGATTACCCGCTCTTAACGTAATTTATACAGACCGGGTGGGCCCACACAACAGGTGGGCGTGGACTAAATTTTTCAGTGTGATGCTTTGCATGACGGGACAAACCCACCAGCAACAGCCCTTAAAGGGCGAAACCTATACGAAATGGAACATATTTTAACACTAAAATTGTATTTCCTTTCACTAATGTTTTGTTTTACAAAACATTAAAAAGTGTGTTCTGTGTTTACTAGCCCAACATGCAGGTCACCAAATCTGAAAATCCTTGTAGTCACCTGCAAGGCTGCAGAAACACACACACACACACACACACACTCTTTACATTTACATCATAAGTTCAAATGTGTTGACCAGCAACAGAGAAGTAGTTAAATAAAAACAATTAAAAAATATATATTTTTTATTTATTAAAAAAATAAACAACTTTTCAGCACCGTAGGAATTAGCAAAATAATAAGATCAGTCACAACTAAACATTTATCAACTCCACCTGGAGTGAATCTAACTCAGTCACAGGTGTTAACATTTAACTCGCTTGATTGACAGCTCTCACAGAGCTTTTTGATCACCACAAGTGTTAAAACAACTCCCAAATCAACTCCCATCAACTCAAAATTATTAACACTGAAAAACAACACTGCAGATTTTGCTGTGTGAATAGCCCTTTAGTTTTCTCCATATGTCCTATACAATTCAAATTAAAGTATGTGTTCATTCAATTTCTCCTTTGTTGTGACCAGTGGGGGTCACTATCTAACAGTTTTTGTTCAATCCTTTGGGCTGGGGCTCAAGTTCTGGACAGGAGGTCCCATCTTCTCAGCAACACATGAGATGGATGAATAATGCATCCACTCCAAAAACCTGACCGATGCTATTCGAGGCTACAACGGGGATTTCCAGATTTCACTCCGCTCACAACTGCAGCTTTCTATCTCTGAGTTTCTGAAGCTATGATAGTTCAGTCAGTATATTCAGGTAGCATTATCTCTCCTCAACGTCTCCTCTCTGTCTGAAGGTACAGTGGCAGTGAAAAAAGGGGCGGGACAATCGACCTCATTGACATCAACCTTATTGGCTGATGTCAAATCAGACTGTGTGAGGCTATTGGTTGTTTAGTCCATCACTCAAATGTACACTGGGTTACACAATGTTCAGCTTTAATCATGTTACTGGTCATGTGACTTACATGTGATTTAAACTGATGTTTTTTTGTTCATATTTGCAGAAGGAATGAAGATGAGAGGCTCAAAGCCTGACAATAATGGTTCCCAAAAACTGTTGAGTAAAGAGGTGGGTTTATTGTTCTCCACCTTCTTTCTACCTTCCACCCTGTTTTCATGCTTCAGTTTTTGTTTCTAATCTCTGTTTTTGTCAGGATGAGGATATGAAATGGGTTGAGGAAAACATTCCTACATCTGTTGCTGATGTGTAAGTAAATATCAATTTGCAACGTTTCACATTATATTTTTTGTCTAAATTTCTGCATAGATGAACAACTCAAAATAACTACAAACCGGATTCCAAAAAAGTTGGGACACTAAACAAATTGTGAATAAAAACTGAATGCAATGATGTGGAGGTGCCAACATCTAATATTTTATTCAGAATAGAACACAAATCACAGATCAAAAGTTTAAACTGAGAGAATGTTTCATTTTAAGGGAAAAATCTGTTGTTTCCAAATTGCATGGCGTCAACAAATCCCAAAAAAGTTGGGACAAGTCCATTTTTACCACTGTGTGGCGTCCCCCCTTCTTCTTACAACACTCAACAGACATCTGGGGACAGAGGAGACCAGTTTCTCAAGTTTAGAAATAGGAATGCTCTCCCATTCATGTTTAATACAGGCCTCTAACTGTTCAATCGTCTTGGGCCTTCTTTGTCGCACCTTCCTCTTTATGATGCACCAAATGTTCTCTATAGGTGAAAGATCTGGACTGCAGGCTGGCCATTTCAGTACCCGGATCCTTCTCCTACGTAGCCATGATGTTGTGATTGCTGCAGAATGTGGTCTGGCATTATCGTGTTGAAAAATGCAGGGTCTTCCCTGAAAGAGATGACGTCTAGATGGGAGCATATGTTGTTCTAGAACCTGAACATAGTTCTCTGCATTAATGGTGCCTTTCCAGACATGCAAGCTGCCCATGCCACAAGCGCTCATGCAACCCCATACCATCAGTGATGCAGGCTTCTGAACGGAGCGTTGATAACAACTTGGGCTATACTTGTCCTCTCTGGTCCAGATGACATGGCGTCCCAGTGTTCCATAAAGAACTTCAAATCGTGACTCATCTGACCACAGAACAGTCTTCCATTTTGCCACACTCCATTTTAAATGACCCCTGGCCCAGTGCAAACGTCTGAGCTTGTGGAGCTTGCTTAGAAATGGCTTCCTCTTTGCACTGTAGAGTTTCAGCTGGCAACAGCGGATGGCATGGTGGATTGTGTTCACTGACAATGCTTTCTGGAAGTATTCCTGAGCCCATTCTGTTATTTCCTTGACAGTGGCATTCCTGTTTGAGGTGCAGTGACGTTTAAGGGCCCGGAGATCACGAGCATCCAGTAGAGTTTTACGGCCTTGACCCTTACGCACACCGCTTGATCCAGATTCTCTTAATCTTTTGATGATGTTGCGCACGGTTGATGATGATAACTTAAAAGTCTTTGCTATTTTACGCTGGGTAACACCATTCTGGTATTGCTGCACTATCTTTCTGCGCAACAATGGTGGAATTGGTGATCCTCTTACCATCTTGTCTTCTGAGAGACACTGACACTCTGAGAAGCTCTTTTTATACTCAATCATGTTGTTAATTGACCTAATTAGTGTTAACTGGTCTTCCAGCTGTTGGTTATATGCTCAACTTCCTTTTTCCAGCCACTTATTGCTACTTGTCCCAACTTTTTTGGGATTTGTTGACACTGTGAAATTTTGAATCAACATATTTTTCCTTTAAAATTTTACATTTACTCAGATTAAATTTTTGATCTGTCATCTATGTAATATTACGAATAAACTATTGACATTTTCCATCTCCACATCATTGCATTCAGTTTTTATTCACAATTTGTTTAGTGTCCCAACTTTTTTGGAATCCATTTTGTACATGACAGCATGCATACATTTGCATGTATGTAATAATGCACAGCTAAAACAAAAAAATGGTAGTTAATACTCAAATCATTAAAAACAATCCTTAGAAGAAGATCTTGAAACGTTGTTTTCTTAAGGTGTATTACACCACTCTACATTTTTTATTCCCACACAGAGCTCTTCCAGTAATGCTCGATGAAGAAGAGGTTAGATTTTTATTCCTCATGATTTTACTCACATTTTATTTAAGCCAGTATCTCACAGTTTGCAGCTAGTTGGCAAACAACGATGACACCTGTTACCATTGACAGATGTACCGCCCCATTCAGACTCTTGACCTGCCTCAGTCCCGGAACTGGGTCACACTAGAATGACAATTAACTTGACACTAACTAGGTCTCACATTCCCAGATAAAACTAGTGGTGGCATGTTGCTGTAGCCGATAGAGCAATAACTACCATATTTTTCGGCCTATAAGTCATGTTTTTTGTATAATTTGCGTACCCTGCGACTTATACACCGAAGAGACATATTTATAGATATTGTCCCATATTTATAAACCAATATTTGGCTGAAATATGACCGCTTTCATTCATTCTGACTGAAAATATTGAACACTATCATTTTCAGCTGCTAGGTGGCACTCTAGTAGTATGGCATACCGTTCTGTCATGTAATAGGCAAACGTGTCTATTAATGACATAATCGGCTTGCCATAGCCTGCCACCTTCGTCCAGCTCACCTGGAGAAACCGTCAAATCGACTTCATTTCGCTGCACTGCCCCGGCGAAATGCAGCTAATTTGATAATTATAGTGCATTTATTAAGTAAAAGTTCAACTGAGACACACCTTTTACTATAAAGTCGAGCAAACAAAGAATTGTTTTAGGTGCTTATCTTGTTAAATTTCCAAGAAATGCACAGTCAAGTCGCCCTCTACGCGTTCCTGTTTCCGCGAATCGGCTTTTGAAATGCAGCTGATTTGACCGTCGAAGTGCATTCATTAAGGAAAAGTTCAACTGAGACAAAAAATTTGCTATAATTTCCAGCAAATAAATAATTGTTTTTAAGTGTTAATCTTGTTAAATTCTTGTTAAAGTCCTCCCGTGCACGCTCCCGCGGCCGCCATTTGGCAGCCAATCGATTTTTGGCACAACACCCGCCCACATTTCTCAGTTCGGCCCACATTTCCAGGTTGTCAACGGTGACTTAACAAATGTGACGCGTCAGCGATGACACATAAAAGATGCGACGTATACGGCGAAGCGACTTATTTATAGATTTTTCCACTTTATTAGACATATTTGGACTGATGCGACTTAAAGGAAGGTTCGATGTGTACGGCGGAAAATACGGTAGTTTGTGATGCCCTTAGATGTTTGGTCGATCACCTGCACCACACCAATTAAAAGCTTACACTTTGTTTTATCCAACTCTGCAATCCATGCATGTATTTGGGCAGATCTTCCTGTAGAGTAAGCACAACCTGCCTTGCTTAAGTTTTTAAGCAAACATTATTTTAAGAGCTTAATGCTTAATTGTATATTTTTTTCTGTCTTGATCATGGGTTTCACAGAATACACTTGGGGTTACAACCCCGAATGTCCTGGTAAAACGAGGCCACAATGAATGATAAATGATGTGGGTGGACATGCACCAAAATAATATGCACAGCCGTTTTGACAGCCGTGCATACAGAGGCCACGGTTTTCAAAAACTGAACCCTCAACTTAATGGAGGCTTGGTCACAAACACTCAGATCTTAATGAGACTGAAATTGATATATTTTTTCTACTTATTCTCAGTTTTGAACTGCCAAGTAGTCTTAAAAAAACGCAGCCCAGTGAGATACTGGCTTTAAAGAGATCTTACCACATACTTAACTTCCCATCATTTTTACTGAGAGACTGCTGTGTGTGCATTAATGCCTCTGTCTGTCTTCTAGGAAATCTTGAAAACCAAGATGGAGAGATCCAAAATGGAGTAGATGTAAATACAAAATTTTAAAATAAAAAAAGTTGGGTCACTGAGGCAGCAATGAATGCACTCTGAATAATATGAGTAACTAAAATGATTAAAAAAGGTAAATGTTTTTGTATAAAAGTGTCAAATTGTGTAACACTGCAATGAACTCGAGAGCATGGATATTGTATTAGAAAAGGAAACCGTTGTGTTGCTCTGAGCTGTATGGTGCGATTGTTCATGTTGGTCTTGGATGGAGGTGAAACTCATGTATGCCAGAACATGTTTCTAAAAAATTGTATTTGTTTTTCTTCTGTTTCTACTGAAATGTTCAAACTCAAGCAGATACTTTGCATGTTGCACAACACATCTCTGTAAAGGTGTTTTTCTGAAATTCGTTTTAGGTTTGTTTCTATGGTTTTTTAATTTTTACAATATATAAAACACTTTCTTGAGGATGAAAACCTTGGTGATATTTTCCTCGAGACCCTTCAAACTGCAGAAGTCTTGTCCAGTGAATCAGAATTGGAGCGTAACGCTCAGCAGTTGTCTTGGACAGAAATATTACACTGATTTAATGAAAGTAAGGATAAGAAACAGCCAGGAGCTCAATGCCCCTCACCCATTTTGGACACTTAGGTGAAGAAATGAGCTGAGCTCTTAACTGATCACCACCTGATGTATTGGATCAAATGGCAGGGAACCAGACAGACCCAGTAGAACCAAACGTGTAGTGAGAGTTCGCTTTTAACTCTTGGCAGAAGAACCTGTGAAAAAGATCTTCAACTCGTACCCCAGCAGAGCTTTAATCACATCCCAGAGGAGGTGGGGGACAGTGAGTCCAAGTGGGCCATGTTCCACATCTCCATTTTCAAGGCGGCTGCCCTGAGCTGTGTCTGCAAGGTGTTTCTCATGGAGGCCATTCTTAAACCTGGGGTTGGACACCCCAGGCGAGGGAGACTGTCAAGCTGAAAAATATTTCTATCGGACTTTGACTCCAGAAGCAACTAAGGGGTACTGGCAGGTCAAGTAGGCTGCCCCCCCTGCTGTTGCTGAGGCAATGGCTCAGATATGAAGGATTGGTTTAGAGACTCCCGATCAGTTCCGAGGAGATTCTGGCAAACCATCAGATGGCTGAGGAAGGGAAAGCAGCACTTCAAGTGGAGGTGGAGTGTTTTTATTTATTTTATTTTTTTACCTCAACCAGTGATGTCATCAGGTGGTGGAAGGAATACTTTAGGGACTTTCTTAATCTCACCTGTATATTTTCCAAGGGGGAAGCTGAGTCTAGGGCACTAGAGTTACTTTGTCTATAATCGGTGCTGAGATCGCTATAGTAGTTAAAAGCTCAGCAGTGGCAGGATTTCAGAACTGGTCGAGATCCAGCCCTAATTCCTTAAGGCTGTGGGGCTGTCTTGGTTAATACTCCTTTGCAACCTGATGTGGACATGAGGGGCAAGTGCCACTGGATTGGCAGATTGGGGTGGTGTTTTCCCTTTTTGAGAAGGGGTATATGCGTAGGGGGATATGGTGTGTTTGAACTGCAGGGAAATAAAACTCCTCAACCTCCTTGGTAGGGTCTATTTAGGTGGTCAATGGTTGAACCACAGATTCAGGAGAAGCAATGTTGGTTCTGTCCTGGCCGTGGAGCATTGCACTAGCTAGCTCTTTGCCCTTGCTAGGGTCATTTTTTTTTTATTATTATTATTTTTTCATTTAGCCTTTATTTATCCAGGTAGTCTCATTGAGCCACGAGAACTCATTTTCAAGAGAGACCTGTTTAGGGAGCAGATGGTGGTGGTTAGGGGCCTTGCTCAGGGGCCCAGAGTGGGGCAAATGAGGATAGAGGGAGGTGTGGGTGTTTCACCTTTTCCACCCACTTTTTGATGTTGACGGTACTGAGAGGTGAACCTGCGACTTTCCGATCACAAGCCCATCTTCTAACCTCTGTGCCACCACTCCCCCATTGACGGGGCGTGGAAGTTTGCTCAACCAGTCTCCATGTGTTTTGTGTACTTGAAAAGGCATTTGAACATGTTCCCCAAGGCACCCTATGTGAGCTGCTTCATGAGTATGGGGTTGGGGGTTTGTTGCTACATACCATTTAGTATTAAAACAAACGATGGGAGAGTCTGGTTTGCTTTGCCAGCAGTAAGTCAAACCTCTTTAGGGTAAGGGTTGGGACTCCTCCAGGGCTGCCCATCACCACTAATTATGTTCAGAACTTTTATAATCAATTTTTTTTAGTGCAGCCAGGAGGTGAAAGTGGTTCAGTTCAGTGACCTTAGGATTCAGTCTCTGCTATGTGCAGATGATTAAGTCCTGTTAGTGCCATTGTTATTTCCAGCTCTCACTGGAGCAGTTCACAGACAAGTTTGAAGCAGCTGGTATGAAGCTCAGCACCTCCAAATCTGAGGCCATGGTCCTCAGATGGGATGGAAAAGGGTTCTTCCAGCACCACACTTCCAACCTGAAGTGAGGTGCTGGAAGGACCCTTTTCCATTCCATAGTTCGGAAGAGCG